GAAAAGATATAACCAAGATCAGAGCAGTACTAAAGGAGATAGAGACAAAAAAAAAACTTTCAAAAATCAATAAATCCAGGAGCTGCTTTTTTGAAAACATCAACAAAATAGAAAACTAGCCATATTAATAAAAAAGAAGAGAGAATAATCAAATAGATGCAATAAAACACGATAAAGGGGATATCACTACAAATTCCACAGAAATACAAACCAAAATCAGAGATTATTACAAACAACTCTCTGCACATAAACTAGTAAACCTGGAAGAAATGGATAAATTCCTGGACACCTGCATCCTCCCAAGCCTAAACCAGGAAGAAGTTAAAACCCTGAATAGACCAATAACAAGGACAGAAGTTGAGGCAGCAATTAAGACCCTACAACCCAAAAAAAGTGCAGGTCCAGATGGGTTCACAGCTGAATTCTATCAGACATACAAAGAAAAGCTGGTACCATTCCTTCTGAAACTATTCCAAACAATCCAAAATGAGGGAATCCTTCCCAAATCATTTTATGAGAACAATATCATCCTGATACCAAAACCCGGCAGAGACTCAGCAAGAAAAAAAAAACTTCAGGCCAATATCCATGATAAACATAGATGCAAAACTCTTCAATAAAATACTTGCAAACTGATTGCAACAGCACATCTAAAAGCTTATCCACCATGATCAAGTAGGCTTTATCCCAGGGATGCAAGGCTGGTTCAACATCTGCAAGTCTATATATGTAATTCACCACATAAACAGAAACAAAGACTAAAATCACGTGATTATCCCAATAGATGCAGAGAAGGCCTTTGATAAAATTCAACAGCCCTTTATGCTAAAAACCCTCAGTAAACTAGGTACTGATTCAACGTATCTCAAAACAATAAAAGCTATTTACGACAAACCAACAGCCAATATCATACTGAATGGGCAAAAACTGGAAGCATTCCCTTTGAAATCTGGCACTTAACAAGAATGCCCTCTCTCACCACTCCTATTCAATATAGTACTGGAAGTTCTAGCCAGAGCAATCAGGCAAGAAAAAGAAATAAAGGGTATTCAATTAGGAAAGGAGGAAGTCAAATTGTCTCTATTCGCAAATGACACGATTGTATATTTAGAAGACCCCATGTTCTCAGCCCAAAATCTTCTGAAACTGATAAGCCACTTCAGCAAAATCTCAGGATACAAAATCAATGTGCAAAAATCACAAGTATGCCTATACACCAATAACAGACTTAAAGAGAGCCAAATCAAGAACAAACTGCCATTCACAATTGCTACAAAGAGAATAAAATACCTAGGAATACAACTAACAAAGGATGTAAAGGACTTCTTCAAGGAGAACTACAAACCATTGCTCAACAAAATAAGAGAGGACACAAGCAAAAGTAGAACCATTCCACGCTCATGGTTAGGAGTAATCAATATCATAAAAATGGCCATTCTGCCCAAAGTAATTTACAGATTCTACATTATCCCCATCAAGCTACCAATGACCTTCTTCACAGAACTGGAAAAAAACACTTTAAACTTCACATGGAACAACAAGAGTGCCTGCATAGCCAGTCAATTCTAAGCAAAATGAACAAAGCTGAAAATATCGCACTATCTCACCTCAAAGTATACTTCAAGACTACAGTAATCAAAACAGTATGGTACTGGTACCAAAACAGATATACACCAATGGAACAGAACAGAGGCCTCGGAGGCAATGCCATACATTTACAACCATCTGATCTTTGACAAACCTGACAAAAACGAGCAATGGGTAAAGGATTCCCAGTTTAATAAATGTTGTTGGGAAAACTGGCTAGCCATTTGCAGAAAGCAGAAACTGGACCCCTTCCTGGCACCTTACACTAAAATTAACTCCAGATAGATTAAAGACTTAAACATAAGACCTAACACCATAAAAACCATAGAAGAAAATCTAGGCAAAAAGATTCAGGACATAGGCATAGGCAAGGACTTTATGACTAAAACACAAAAGCATTGGCAACAAAAACCAAAATAGACAAATGGGACCTAATTAAACTCCAGAGCTTCTGCACAGCAAAAGAAACAGTTGTTAGCATGAATCAGCAACCAACAGAATGGGAAAAAATTTTTGCAATCTACCCATCTGATAAAGGGTTAATATCCAGAATCTACAAAGAACTAAAACAGATTTACAGGAAAAAAACAAGCACATTCAAAAGTGGGCAAAGGATATGAACAGACACTTTTCAAAAGAAGACATTTATGAGGCCAAGAAACATATGAATAAATGCTCATCATCACTGGTCGTTAGAGAAATGCAAATCAAAACTAAAGTGAGATACCATCTCACACCAGTTAGAATAGCGATCATTAAAAAATCTGGAGACAACAGATGCTAGAGAGGATGTGAAGAAATAGGAACACTTTTACACTGTTGGTGGGAGTGTAAATTAGTTCAACCATTGTGGAAGACAGTGTGGCAATTCCTCAAAGACCTAGAAACAGAAATTCTATTTGACCCAGCAATCCCATTACTGGGTATATATCCAAAGGATTATAAATCGTTCTATTATGAGGACACATGCACACAAATGTTCATTGTGGCACTGTTTACAATAGCAAAGACTTGGAACCAACCCAAATGCCCATCGATGACAGAGTGGACAGGGAAAATGTGGCACATATACACCATGGAATACTATGCAGCCATAAAAAACAATGAATTCATGTCCTTTATAGGGACATGGATGAACCTGGAAACCATCATTCTCAGCAAACTGACACAAGAACAGAAGATCAAACACCACATATTCTCACTCATAGGTGGGTGTTGAACAGTGAGAACACATGGACACAGGGAGGGGAGCATCACACACTGGGGTCTTGGAGGGGAAATAGGGAAGTGACAGCAGGGGGTTGGGAGTTGGGGAGGGATAACATGGGGAGAAATGCCAGATATAGGTGATGGGGAGGAAGGCAGCAAACCACATTGCCATGTGTGTACCTATGCAACAATCTTACATGTTCTTCACATGTACCCCCAAACCTAAAATGCAATAAAAATAAATACACACTTTTATCTCTTGAGTCTTCATTTCTGAAAACCTCCCATGTTACATAAAAGTGACATTAAATAATTTATATAATTTTATTAATTTGCCTTTTGTTATGGGGGCTCAACCATAATCCTAGCAATGGGAAAGAAAAACATCTTGTACTTTCTACAAGTCTTTCCAATGTGGTCTTGGTTTTCTAATTAAATATATTGGATAACTATGTTATATATATACACACACACACACACACACACACACACACACACACACACACACACACGTGCACAAAAAGTAAGCATTTCCTTGTATCATTAATATATAAATGATACAAAGTCTAAAGAGGTATGCAAAGATTTGGTCTGGGCTGTCTTAGATTGCAAGTCATTTTACATTTTCTTTGTTTTTCAGTTTCTGTTCCAGATTTTCTGCAAGCATGTATTTTATAATTTGACAAACATTTTAAAAAATATTGCTCTGTAGAAAAGGATAGAAAGGGACCAGGTTGAGACAGATGCCAGTTGTTTTATGGCTGACAGAATAATCGGAGTAAGAAATGTGAAACATGGAATGCAGGGATGAGGACAAATTTGAGCAAGATCATTTAACAAACTAGAACCTACAGAAGTTGGACAATAATGGGGATGGTGGAGAATAGATGAGGTAAGGGGATAGTCTAAGATAAGGGGTGGATGAATGTACCATTCCCTGAAGTAGGAAATACAGCAAACTGATAAGTTTGGAAAGGGGAGAAGACCAAGAGGATATTTGGGACTGTTGAGTTTGAGATGCCTGGAGACCTCTAGATAAGGTTGTCTAATAGATAGTGGGATATAGATCTGGAACCTTAAAGAGTGGTATCAGATGAGAGTACACATTTGGGAGTTATGTTGTATAATTCTTCTTTGTTTTGATGCAGAACATAATGGAGAGCCTTCAGAGAAGCATACTGAACAGAAGATAAAGCTCTAGGGAAGAGTGAGGTGAATAGAGAGAAGGCTGAGGATGCTAAGAGCAACCAAAAAATCAGAAGAGTGTAAAATAGCAAAACCAATGGAAGATAATTCAAAAAGAAACAGACATGGCCAGAGGTAAGAATTCTTCGGTAAGATGGAAGACCATGCTTTTTGGATGGCTAGTCAAGGTTGTACGTGATCTTAATGAAGCTTTTTTTTTTTTTTTTTTTTTTTTTTTTTTGGAGTGGTTTCAGTGAAAGACAGATTGTAAAAACTTGGGAGGTAGAAGGAGGCTCAGAATGTAGCAGGTTTGGAATGACTTGGTGAATGTAGATCATCCTCTCAGGAAGCATGGTAACAAATAAAGAGGGTAATGGTCCCAGGCATTTTTACCTCTCAAAGACTGCTTTCCTTGCCCATAAAACAAGGAAAATACAGGTAGCACCTTTTTAGCAGTGGTGTCCTAAGGTTTAAAATCTATTACTAAGGAAATATACTTGTGTCCTTTGGCTGAATCAAAATTTATTGTTGCTAATCACCATGCATTCATTTTCATAATGTCTTAATCATTAAAGTCAAGTGAATAACAAAACACAGCTAACCGGCTCTGTGTTTCCCTAGCTTAAGTTCTTTGACTGTATATACCCAAGTTTGACCTTAAAAGATATTAATATTTCATTCCTTTAGCACTTAAAACAAGGACAGTTTCAGTTTGGTCTGGAAATAAGGCAGAATTTCTCCTCTCATCCTGCCTTCCAAACTGAAGAAGTGGCCTCAAATGAGATCCTAAGAGGAAATGTCACTTGATTTATGAATCAGTGTGAGAATACCTATTGTGGATCGGTTCAATATCCAAAACTTTCTTCAGATCCAACTCTTGGCATCTCTGTCAAGAGAAGTCTTGACAGCCACTTCTCCTGTTTTGAAGATTTCAAAAGACCTAATGAGTTTATGCTTTATGAAATCATATAGCCATGGATGTGATGTCACAATTGTGGCCCACTCACCAGGAAGCACGCAGAGCAGGAAAGGCTGAGTCCACACTGCAAGTGCAGAGAGCAGGAAACTACCTTGAGTTATTCTATCCAAACCCAAGTCTCAGAGTTCCTCAATTTCCCAAGAAGGCAGTGATAGAGGCCACAACCCTGGGGGTCATCTCTCAAGGCACCAATAGTTTTGCAGGTAAGAACATGGAGCCTCCTCTCTTTCCAGACAGTCCAAAAGAAAAGCTCAGCAGTTCAGACATTTCTAACCTAAAAGAAGGGTTCTGATCACCACCAGAAAACAAAACAAAACCAAAAACAGATTGAGGAAACAGAAAATACATCATCCTTTTAGAGTATTATTTTTATAAATATGCCCTTAATTTAGACTAGTTAGTGGAAATTTCTCAAGTGTGTATGTGTCTGTACGAATGTTGTGTATTTTAAACTTTTTGGAGCTTAGCCAGATATTTCGAATGTTAATCCTAGCAAAATTTCCCTTTAAGGATGTCCTGCAGAGAATTTGTTACTCATAGTTTCAAGTAAAAATTTACAAGAAGTGCTTTTTCAGCCCAGAAGGAGTCATGTGCATGTCGTAAGACTTAAGGAAATGCAGGGACCCTCCTATTTTCTCCTGCAAAGTTGAAAAATCTGCATGCAGTTGGAAGGGATCTTCAGATGGTGCTGGTGACTTTCTGTTCCTTTTGGAGTTGACATGCATATGGATTGGAGGAAAAATAATCGACATACATCCTCCTTTCATACTGTTTAAATCACAGGAAGAAGTGCCTTGAAGACAAAGTGAGTTCTTTCCCCGAAAAGTTTCCTTTGTTTTGTTTATGTGGTATTTTGACTTCTCTTATTGTTTTTTTAAGGATGAGAAATTTTAATAAGCCTTCCAGTAACTGCTTAAGAGAAAACTTTTGCTTGGCAAAAGTGGATACCTTTTGAAGTTTCTTAGCTCTTTTAGCTAAAGGTTATCAAATTTTATATGCTAAGATTTTCAGATTTCTCATTCTTCTAACTTGTATGTAGGGGTAACATAGTGACCAGATAACTCTCTGAAATTGCCTCTTGAGTTTTTCTAATGGTCTTAATGCAGGTATAGCTTTATTGATATAAAAAGAAGAAGAAGAGGAGGGCTCTTGAGATTTTATTTGGCTTAATTTATTTGAATGAATAACATTATCACTGAGGATATTTTATCACTAGATTTATATTTTGAGAGCACATTCTGAAGTCACTTACAGGTTTTAAGTAAAAGGAGTTAATGAGATTCCTGCTATTTTCAAGAAAAATCTGCCTACTTTCCAGAAGTGGGCATACAAAAATTCATAATCTTAAATTTCCTAAGATTAAAATATCTGTGTTTGCAGCCCACAGAGATATACAATAGACTATATCAATCTAAAGTGCTACTTCTTGGAACGGAGGTAGTGTTGTTATTCAGGCGAAAAGCATACATCCCATATGTGTTAATGCATTCTCTCACTATTTTAGTCATATCCTCTTTGGTACCTATCATTCATTTGAAAACCAAAGCAGCTCCTCAGCTGTCAATTTAGACTTTAGAAAATTGGAAACTAAAAAGAAACATTATTAACAAAATGCTTAGTTCATATACACAAAACCTAAGAAAATCCTTGAGCCATTTTAGCCATTATTTCATATCCACAATACCACCATGTATAAATGCTAGCATTTTTATTAGCAAAGCATATGGATTAAAATTTAACTTAAGTATTTCAAACATATGTATCATACAAGATATTTCTTAACATATGCGTTATGATATATGCTTAAAGCCATAATCTAAATTGCTTAAGGGGAAGGTAAACTCTGGTGTCTGTTTTCTACATTTCTTGTTTCTATTCTCACATTATCATTAGGTGCCAATTCTGGGACTGTTCTACCTAAGCAAGAGCAGCAGATTTGTGTGTTAACATAACACCTCACTTCACTGACAAATTTACCTCTTATTTTTCGTACACTTGCCAACATTTTGAGTAAAGCTGAATTAATTTGTGTATCTTACACAAGACTGGGTACTTTTCTACTATAATATTACAACTAAGTGTTTAGAATATTTAGAGAAGCTTTGATTTGTTTCTGTTTTCATTTTTATGTTTTCAATCAAGGGAACATGATCTCTTTAGATATGAAAGCCGAATACTTGGGTTTGCATGGGAAGCTCTGAATCAGGTATTAGTTAAACCAGTTTGCATTTCCTTGTTCTTGTAATTATCTTTTTCTTCTCTGGTTATCATCATTTTTCTTGGTTACTTTTTGGTACCCTGAAATCTGATTGAAGAAGAGGAAGAGAAGAGGTAGAGGAAGAGGAGGACAAAGAGGACTCCTTTTTGCCCAACATGCCTCAAATCCCTGCAAAATAATCAGCTTGAGGCCAGGCATCATGGCTCACTTCTGTAATCCTAGCTTTGGGAGGCCAAGGCAGGGGTATCACTTGGGCCCAGGAGTTCAAGACCAGCCAGGGCAACATAGGGAGACTCTATTTAAAATAAAAATAAATAATAAGCTTGCTGATGACATACCCTAGTATTTTATGTGACCTAGTAAGACATTCTTATGGTTTGCATTCACCCTATCCTCACCATATGTCTAAACTTTCACACAGGCTAATTACCCTGATTAGAACATACTGTATGTCAACAGCAAGGTTTAAACTCATTAAATAAATAAAGCTAGAGAGTCTATTTGAAAGCAATAGTGTGATGTGGAGAAGAAATTCAAGGTTTTGAGGTATCATTCATGCTGAGTCTTCTGTGAACTAAGACTCTGTGAACTAAGACTTCTGTGAACTAAGGTAGGGAGGTTAGTTTGCCTCCCTACCTTAAAGCTATAATTAAAAGAGTTGTGTTATAGAATTTTAAATTAGAATAATAGTAACAGTAGTCATTTTTATTTTTATTTCTTCTCAAATTTTTCAGTTTTACTTCTGGCACCGATGAACCTTAAATTTATCTCACTTAATTTTCAGCTATGAGCTATTCCTTTGCATATTCATTTTGTCAAAGGAGTACTCACTAAATGGATCCTGAGTTTTATTTTTCAGTAGATTATTTTGATATGTTAAGATTGTCTCCTCACATTTAAAAATATGCCTTTTTGTATTATTTCATTTTCATTGCAATTATAATGCTCTAAAGATGGTGGTGTGGAAGTGGTATGGAGAAATGTGCTTCTGTGGCTTATTCTCCAGCTTGATTCTGTTTAATTACTTCTTACAATTATTCATAAAACAATTTACAGAACATCTCATAAGTCATATGACTTCTAATGTTTCTTAATTTTTTTCTTTTTTGCTTTCATTATTATTACTATAGACACATAATTGTACATATCTATGGGGTACAATGTAATATTTGTATACATGTATAAAACAAATTATCAAATCAGGGCAATTAGCGTATTTACCACCTTAAATAGTTATCATTTCTTTGTGTTGGGAACATTTAAAATCCACTCTTCTAGCTATTTGAAAATATACAATAAATTGCTAATTATAGTTACGCTATAGCACTATAGAACACTCAAACTTATTCCTCCTGTCTAGCTGTATTTTGTGTTTCTTAGGCTACCTTTGGCTATCTCTTTCTTCCCCCTACCCTTTTCTGCTTCTAGTAAGCACTATTCTGCTCTCTAATTGTATGAGATCGACTTTTTTTAGCTTCTTTATATTCATGACAACATGCAGTATTTATCTTTCTGTGTCTAGCTTATTTCACTTAAAATAATGTCCTCCAAGCTCATTCATGTTGCCTTGAATGACAGAAATTTGTTCTTTTATGCAACTAAATAATATTCCATTGGTATATATAGCACTTTTTTTATCCATTCACCGATTGATGGAAATGTAGGTAATTTCATGTCTTGGCTTTGTATCGTAAGTAGTGCTGCAATAAACATGTGAATACAGATAGCTCTCTGACATCTGAATTTCCCTTCCTTTGGCTATATATCCAGTAGTAGGATTGTGGGATGATACGGTAGTTCTAGTTTTAATTTTTTGAAGTAATGGACATACTAATTTACATTCTTCCAAATAGCATATAAGAGTTTGCTTTTCACCACATACTCTCAGCATTTTTGTCTCTTTGGTCATAGCCATTCTAACTGGGGTGACATAATATATTCTTATAGTTTGGATGTGCATAACCCTCATGATTAATGATGTTGACCATTTTTTGAACATACCTATTGGCCGTTAGTATGTCTTCCTTAAGAGATGTCTATTCAACTTATTTGCCTACTTTTTAATGTGATTCTTTTGCTATTAAGTTGAATTTATTTTATATTATGAATATTAAACTCTCATCAGATAGTTTTCAAATATTTTCTTCTATCCTGTAGGTTGTCTTTTCACTCTGTTAATTGTTTCCTTTGCTGTGCAGAAGCTTATTAGTTTGACAATATTCCATTTGTCTATTTTTGCTTTGGTTGTCTGTGCTATTGAGGTCTTATCCATGAAATCTTTGCTCACAACAACATCATACAGTACTTTCCCCTATGGTTGCTTCTAGTGACTTCATAGATTCAGGTCTTATATTTAAGTTTTTAATCCATTTTGAGTTGATTTTTACATGTTATGTGAGATAGAAATCCAGTTTTATTTTTCTGCATATGAATAGTCAGTTTTCCCAGCATCATTTTTCAGAGACTGTTCCTTCTCCATTAAATGTTCTTGGCAGCTTTGTTGAAAATCATTTGGCTGTATATGTGAATTTATTTCTGGGTTCTGCATTCTGTTCTATTGTTCTATGTATCTATTTATATGCCAATATTATGCTGTCTGGGTTACTATAGCTTTGAAATATATTTTGAAGTTCAAAAATGTGATTTCTCCAGCTTTGTTCTTTTTGCTCAGGATTGCTTTGGCTATTCAGGGTTTTTTGTGGTTTCATATAAATTGTAGTAGCTTTTCTTTTTTCTATTTCTGTGAAGAATGTCATTGGTATTTTAATAGGATTGCACTGAATCAGTAAATCACTTTTAGCAGTGTCATTTTTAAAATATCAATGTCTCCAATTCATGAACATGAGATACGTTTTCATTTTTGTGTCCTCTTCAATTTTTATCATCAGTGTTTTGTAATTTTTCTTGTAGAGATTTTTCACCTCCTTGGTTAAATTTATTCCTACGTGGGTTGTTTTTCATAGCTATTATAAATGCAATTTGTTTCTTGATTTTTTTTTTCTCACTAGTTTGCCTATGGTGTATAGACAAGCTACTGGGTTCTGTTATGTTTATTTTGTATCCTGCAACTTTACTGAATCTATTGATCGGTTCTGAGATTTTTGGTGGAGCTTTTATGGTTTTCTACATAGAAGTTCTTGTCATCTGCAAATTAGGACAATTTGACCTCCTTTTCAATTTAAATACTCCTTATGTCCTTCTCTGGCCTAAGTACTCTGTCTAGGGCTTCCAGTACTATGTTGAATAAAAGTGATTAAAGTGAGATCATTGTCTTGTTCCAGATCTTAAAAGCTTGAAACTTTTCTCCATTCAATGTCATGTTGGCTATGGGTTTTTCATACACGGCTTTAATTATGTGGAAGTACATTTTTTCTGTACCTAATATGTTGATAATTTTTATCATGAGGGGATGTTGAATTTTTCTCAAATACTTTTTCTGTATCTATTGAGATGATCAAATGGTTTTGCCCTTCATTTTGTTGATATATTGTATCACATTTATTCATTTGTGTATTCCATCCCTGGGGTAAATCCTACCTACATGGTGAATAATCTCTTTAACATGCTGCCAGATTGGTTCACTGTTG